AAACTTTTTGATTGGCTTGATGTTTGTCAGTTTTGTTCTTCCCTCGAGTGGTTACCATCAATGCACTCTCACCCAATTCCATTACTAGCCTCTCTTCTTCTTGAACACACATGGTCATTAATTCATTAATTGACCATTTGTCCTTATGTGTATTGTATGAAATTTTAAAATGGCTATATTGAGGTGGAAGGGTGTTCAAAATATAGTGCACCAGGAAGGATTCTGACATATTAACCTCAAGTTTCTTAAGTTGAGCTGTAATATCTCGCATTTGCATTATGTGCTCACGCACACCCTTTATGTTGGTGAGTCTAAGGGATGAAAATTTCATAATAAGGGTGCTTGCTAGTGCCTTATCCGAAGTGATGAATTGTTCATCGATAGCCTTTAGCAAGTCTCGGACATTTTCATGCTGGTTAACAAAACCACGTATGCCAGCAGTTATCTTAGTTTTGATAAACATCACGCTGAGCCGATTGGATCGCTCCCATCGCTCATATAATGCGATCTCAGTTAGAGTGCTGGTATCAGTGACTATAGGTGGTTCGTCTTTTCTAATAGCATAATCAATATCCATCCACCCTAAATGGAGGAGAACCCTCTCCTTCCATATCTTATAGTTATCACCACTAAGTTCGGGAATATCACATCGAATATCAGAGAAATTAACAGTTTGAGAAACTGCATAAAATCAAACATGCTTATGTCAAAATTTGAAACTTAATAGACTAAATTACATGTTTTACCAATGTGAAACATGCCAAAAATATGAATCTCATGACATAAAAATTGCCTGTGGGCTAAATTCTTAATTCAAATAGATTCATATGGTCTTTATGATAAAACTATTAAATTATATTCCAATTCATAATCCCTGTAGGTAAATTATGAAAATAATCTGATATTTTATCCTGATTAATTATATTAAATATAATAAAAGATCCTGTGGGATAATAATTATTATATGAAATATAATCAATCACAATATGATGTCTAATTACTTATGTGATCCTTATTTTAACTTTATATATAATTTTAATTAATTAAGGATGTTGTGGCTAATTCTTAATTAATTAAGATTATATGGATCACTAGACATTTTAAACATAAAAAATTTGCTCATAAACATAATTAATATAACTAAATATGCATACATAATATGAGCATTTTACCGATTAAAAATGTTGAAAATGATATTTCCTCATGATTTTCAACAAAATATATCAACAAGTTTCCAAGAAGAAACCAAAATCAAATCATTTTCATGGCATAAAAATGAAAACTTTTTGATATCAAGGCAGAGGTCATTCGGCTCTGATACCAAATGTAAGAAATTTTAATGAAGCCAACTTGTGTTTCTAAATCATTGTAATAGAAACACAATAAAACTAATGCGGAAACGAAATAGCGTACCTCCAGCCATTATCACCAAGAATTTCTGCAAAGGTTTCTTCTTGAACTTTGGTTCTTCTCGGCTCAGAACTCTCGCTTTAGATGGTGTAGGAAAACCTTTCGCTTCAAAGAGATGATTGAGCCAAGGGACCAAAATCCTCATGTATATATAGATGTTCTCCCATCAAGAACATTTATCATCACCAACTCATAACGTTCAAGAATTAATTCAAATTTGTAACGTTTGGACCATAATGAAGAACTTAATGATATTAAATATTTAATTTAATAATAACGGTTTCATGTATAAAGAATAAGAAACTGAAATCATTTAAACCATAATAAATGAAAAAAAATTCATGATAATGAATTATGAATCTTAATAAGAACGGTTACGTTATTATTAAATAAGATATTTAATAATAACCGTTACATCTTTTTATTGATTTCGCCTGAGAGACGTGAATTGTTAATACTGAAGAGACTAACAGCTTTATACTACAAAAAGAGCAAGGGGCCATCATAAATCCACAGCCCAACAAGTCCATCGACACATTTCAGTAACTACGGATCTCTAAGGATCAGTAGATAGCCAAGCTCCCAGAAAGAGCTCTCGTCTCTTCTCAACACCAAGAGCTGACACATTTCAGTCCTGCATCACACGGAAGCTGATGAGAGTTCATTTCGGTAGCCTAATCCTTCGGCCTTCAGCCTGATTCGGTACTTACTAATGTATGAACATTGCGAGCATAACAGGATTTAACCTCATGATTAATGATAACTAAATAAATTTAGTATATAATGAGCATGAAGACACAGTTCCTCATTTCTCAATATTGTATGTGCTGTCACAAAATCATTAAATAAGTGTAGTAACTTTTCCACCATGGGGAAGTTCAAAATCTGGAAAATCTGAATCAGGAGCAGAGTAACGCTTGAAACTTACAAGTAGATGCGTTAGATATTGCACAGTGCAAAGAAATATTGTTTCCTTTTTTGTTTCCAATTTGTAACATGAATCCAAGTACACATTGGCAGAGAAAAAAAATTCCACGTGAAGGAAAAGCCCAAGGCTACGATTTAATAGAAAATTCTTACAAAAAGATGACACAGAGCTTTATCCAGAGTAAATTATCTTCAAACTTCCATTTGGCAGCAATTTCCATTCAATCAGTGGCTCCTGACATCCAACAAATCAAGTGTGTTGGAATTATCATCAGGCATACATGATATATTTAGCACCACCAGAGCAATATGAAATTAACTAAATAGACATGCATGTAAAAATTTCTAAATCATAATACCACCAACTGGTTCAATTTTTTGGTCTGAAATGAAAAGATACATCAGACATCAAAAGTGACTTCAAAAGAACTTTTTAATTGTAGACATCAAGAGCACTTTATTGAACCAAAAGATCATGATTTCAGTAAACATGCACTTACTATCTCCTTGAAATTAAGCCAGCCCCAGAAGACCTGAAGGAAAACCAATAGCCAGTAATTAAATTTACCCAGACTAAGATATATATATATATATATATATATATATATATATATATATATATAATCTCTCAAACATATGTATGAGGCAAAACTAATAGTACCTCCCCAGCTGCTTTCCTCCAAAACTATGTCTTCCATTAGTCAGTCCTTTGTTTTGAGGAGGAGACAAACCTGTTCTATCAAGGTTTGCTGTGTTTCCAACCTTGAAGTACAGAGATGAATGACCAGACTTGATTTCCGATTGTGAACCATTAGCTTCTTGGATATTGTTTGATTTACTTGAAACTGTTACATCCGATAGCCCCTGAATAATATTTAATCTGACACCATTTGGTTGTTCATCCTGTCTCATCAAAATCTGGGTGCGTTTGTTGCTAGTCTCTCCAGCATTAATCACAGCAGCACCATCTGCATAGGGCATAGTGTTTGCAGTTTTTGATTCAATTGATTGTACCTTTTTTTGGCGATTGACTTGAGAAACTGGGGTGACAGCAACTGATGGCAACAACGATGTGTAAGGAGCAGAAGATGCAGTAGCAGCAGCAACTTTAGCAACAGCTGCAGTTGCAGATATAATTTGCTGGGCTCCTTCTCGAAGGTGGATAAAGTCACCTTCAATAACAAATAACTGGATTCACAAAAAAAAAAACTTTAATTAAAATTAAGAGTTCAAATTATCAAGACAATTCAAATGTAAGGACCTACTTCAGGATGACGAGTAACAAAATCATCAAGCTTTCCATAATGCTTCTTATAGTCATGCCAATGAAGGGGCGCAAGCATTTTGCCAAGCCTATTTGGTAGCTAAAACACATGTAGCACACAAGCTTAGTAAGAAAAAGAGAGGACTTCATATAGTGATCGACAAACTGGTTACGCAGTCTGGTGTCTACATAGTTAGACTTACCGTCGTACTGATTCTGATTCTTCCATCTGATCCAGCAGGCACTGCACGCACAATGCAAGTCAAAAGTGATCTTTCATCTAAGAGATTGGGATCCACTGGTGGTTTACTAGACATCAAAGTACTTGAAATTGGGGCAGCCAAGGCAGTAGATTCATTTGAACTGACAGAGTTTTGACTAGCGGATAACATTATGTTAGATGTAGGTTGTTGTTGTCCAGTTCTCGGCACCTGCTCTTGTGATTGTTTCCCTGCAGCCACAATGTCCTCGGCCTGCACAAGCAATGAAGCAATAATACTACATAAAACTATCTTCACACTTGTAGACTGATTTATTACCTTTTCTAACAAGGATATCAATGTTCACTAAGACATAAACTTGCCAGCTTCCTGCATCAATCTGTAACATCATAAGGCGGCTTAAAAGGAAACAAACCTTGGTTGCATTCTTCTTTTCTGGTGGCACAAACCCTCTTGCAGAGTCCAAGTGAGAAGGTGCATCTGAGGTCCCTTGTGATTCTTGGATAACTGGGTGCTGTTTCACATTTGATTGGAGCACCTAGCATCAAAGTTAGTACAAGATTTAACATAAGACCTCAGAGTAATAATTAAGATCTAGAAATACAGTTTATATTGATAACCTGGACTTCATCACTAGAGTCAAAGCCTGAATGTCCAGACATCTGTTGCTGATCTCTATGGCTGTTAAGATTGTCAAGATGAACCATCTGCATTTCACCAGGCATATCAAAGCTATAATGGGTGTCTGATCTTAAAAATTCCTGCTCTGTCTGTGATGGTGGATGCTTGCTTTCAGGTATCTGTGAGATATCTGAAAGGGCCTAAAGGAGATATCTAGAGATTAATACTGGTAGTTGTATTATACAATCAACCAAAAAAAGCCTTTGAAATACTCTGGTACCCATACCTGTTGATTTTGCAAATGTTGTTGAGTTAGAACCACAGGCACTGATTGAAAATGATCTATGTGAGATTGTGGAATAGGTGAATTGCTGGAAGCTACAGCTTGTGGAACACCTAATGGATTCATTACATAAGGATGTAATGCAGCCACTGGGCCAGGAGGAATGAAGGCATTCATTCCAAGTATGGACGATGGCACAACAGGAACACTGGGGGCATGTTCAATCTGACAAGAAAAGAAATCTTGTAATGTTTATTCTGATTATACATAATATCACATGAGATTTTATCCATAAAGAGAAAAAAAGAAACAAGGTTTACAATAGGGTTCATAATAGGTCTCAAGAACATATTTTGATTCATTATTGAGACAAAAACCAAATACAGGGTTTAGATGGAATTGTTAGACCCAGAGTTGGTACCAAACTGTACCCAATACCACACAGGTACAACAGATGACCAATCTTGATATGGGATCAAGATTTTAATCTTTTGCAGGATCCTTACACATGGTGCAGTCCTTTTTAAACTGGGATCTTCCACCATTGAACTCTGAATAGGGCAATATCACAAGTTCAAAGCATCTAATTTTTGTTTTCTTATTTCTATAACTCCCTCTACCTCAAATAACACCACTAATCCTAATATATTTACCTCATCTACCTAGGGCATATATATGCCTCATTTAGAGATGTTAGTATTGCCTTAAATGGTTTTAACCCATTTTAATCTTCTATTAGAGGTATACTTAATTATTGCAAATGTAAAGCATTCTTCCTTTATTTTGTAACCCTACACATCCATATCAACATTCACAATTGAACAAATATTTTTGCACATGTTTCCTAATTGTTATATACATTAAACATGCTAGCCTTACAAATGCCCCTTCCAACCTAAAAGGGCATAAAGATATTACACAAAACTCTTTATTATTTCTCTTTTTTAAACATCCCACTTTGACTCCTTAACATCTTCATTAATCTATGATATCAATTTGAGTTAGATTCACATACTTCTGGAAACCTCTTGTTCATCTACCTTAGCTATACTTTCAATATTTTTCTAAGCTGAAGTTAGACTTGATGTATTTTGGTAGTAGTTTTTCTAAACTTAAAACACGTAGTTTCTAACATTTATCTCCATGGCTCAAGATCAAAATCAATCTCAACTAAACTATCATCAATGCATAATAATATCAACAACATATACCAGAAAGGTTTATCCTGAATACAGGAAGTTAATCATTTTACCAAAATGAAAACATAAGGACTCAAAGCAAAACTTTAGATGTACACCTACAATGCTATCCATCTAACCTACCACAAAATTTTCCTTAGTCAAAAAAATGCATATGCAAACCTTTATTCTTCCCTAGATGTTTCTCACTGATTGTCTCAATAAAAAGATAGGTCTATGGTGGATCTTTTAAGGTATAAAATCAAATTAATTTCTGGAAATACTCACTTTGTATGTCAGTCTTTGTTCAATCACCCGCTCTCAAAGTTTCATATATGGATCATGGCTAAGTTGTCCAAAAGACTAGAATTTAGAATGATAAAATTTCGGGACTTTTAGTTAGTGAAATACTAAAATCTTCTAATTCTAGCTACAAGATAATATAGCAATAGAGCATGTCTTATAAACCCACATGAAAATGATTTTCCAAGGTGCTTACACTGATGCATCTACAAGCAAGAAGTAAATAAGGTCAGTTAGGAATAAGGGTGTGAGAGCCAAGGTATCCTCACTAGAAACATCAATAAAGAAATCTGTGGCCAGTGGTGTTAATGTTAACATGGCTCACGGCAGGAACATTCATGCAACCGGCCCAAATAGTTGGGATCTTATGGCATATCATCGTTATATTTCCATGCAAGAAATAATTTTTGAAAACATAGGTCACTGGATATATGGCTTTGCCCTCCCCCTCTCAGACTGACTAGATATGAAGCAAAATAGTGTGAGCACTCAACATCATGGTACTTTTTTTTTTTACCTTTTCAGATCCCAACGAATAAAAGAAACATTGGTTAGTCACTTTGCATATCATGAGAGATTGTTGACAATTGACCACAGTACAAAAGGAAAATTTTAAAATCTTTAATACTTCACCTTACCTTAGAAGATGAACTGGAAGATAAAACATGAGATGAAGTCCCATCTACACTTCCATTAGATGCAAATCCCAAGTGACCATTTGATTTGCCACCATCTATCACATTAATCTGATTTCCATTATACGAAGATGAATCGGTTGAGTTTTCATGAGTAATTCGTGAACCATCTTCATAATTTCCATTCTTTTTCCTTGCCTCAGCCAATTCCAGCTGAAGCTGCTGTATGGCTTGCAGATGATGACGCTCCATTTCAACAAACTAGCAAAAGGCATCAAACAACAAATAACAGAAAGAGAAAGATGCCAACAATCATAGCTAAACATAATAACCAATCACAAATTTACTGCAATAAACAAAGCAATCGATATGTACATTGTAATAAACAAATCAAAAGAGACTAACAGTGAAACAAAGCATTTGCCATCTAACCTGCCTTTGAAAACCAATCCAATATTGGTTAAACTGCTCTGTGCGTTCTCTTAGTTCAGCTTGCAACGACTGGTTAGTGGAGGACTGCAAAGCATCCATTTCTTGAACCCGTGCAACCCAAGATTGTGCCTCCCTTAACTGTTCATCCTTGAAAAGAACAGTTTCTCGTGCAACTCTATGCTGAAAGAAAGAATTTGTTTAAAATACATATTTCTTCTTTTACAAATTAATGAAACCAAAGGATATATTCTATTTTAAAAAGGAAGATGAACAATCCGACAAACACTACAGAAATGCAAAATCGTAAAACAAAACCACCAAACAGAAAATGCCTACTTATTAGCAAATATTAAATCTAATTCACTGAAAAATTAGCACAAAACGTTTCCAAAAATAATTGAAACAATCAAAAAATTCAAGAAAAACACTGTACAAGTGACTTTGTGATGCTCTTTGTAGAACATTTGTTCTGCTGTTCGGTTAGCAAATTCAGCAATTGTCTGATACTGTGTTCACAGTAGCTTGGACATTTATACACGTGTGTTTGGCATTCTCTTGTAACAAAATGCCTCCGGTCACATGATACATCAATTTCAGCAACTGGGAATAATCTTCTTAAGTTGACACTAACAAGTTCTAGCATTTTTACCATAAAACTTCAAACATAGTGTTGTCATGACATTCCATCACCCACCCATCTTCAAAGCCTAATCAATAGGTAGTTGGATCAGCAACATATAATAGAACTTATCGGGGCTCAATTCCTTGATCTGTTATAACCCTTAAATACAGATTAGAACATCACCTTTTCTTGGTACTTTGAATTCACCTAACATGCCATTAAGCATTGAATCATGAGAAGAGCATAGATGTTCATTAACTCAAGGGCCTCCAAGTTATAGAAAAATCCAAATAAATTACCATGAATGCTACTGACTACACCAGGAAACTATCACCTGAATTGCGACTTCCCAAGCATTCATAAGAATGCACCAAGTTGTCGAATCTGGAAGCCATCATATTTATTCTGAATCCCAGCAAGAAGCATATGCCTTCATAATTCTACTTTTTGAACATGGCTAATGGCTGCAAGCAATTGTCACTCCACAGATGCGCAAACACAAAAAGTTTATTGTTTATTCATACATATTGATACATGTGTTGAGTAAATTCACTAGTTTTCACAATAGCCTACAGTGTCTTAGAATACAGCAATCAGATTCAAGTCCATGTGGCAGATCTGAATCCTGCCTACTTAGGGTCCATTTGTTACATGGAAAGCATCCTTGGAATGAGCATGGTGTTTGGAATCTAATAATGTCTTTCTCATTCTAATTACTGAGTGGAATCAGAGTATCCATATAAACTGGAATCTCATTCAGGACTCACCCTCAAAATTTGATCGTGATTCCTAGAGATATTTTCTGCTCTCAAACCCTCCTTCCTTTATAACCAAAACAATATAGATATAGATACTTTAATTAAAATAAACTTAAAACAACACAGTGATAACAACATCATGATTTAATGATTAAAACAAAATATGATATAATATGCCATATAATATAAATAGCTATTGAATTGAAAAAATGTAATTACAAAATATATAAAAATAATATGTTATATTAAAAGAATTGTCACCAGGAACACCATAACCCCTTGGAAACATAATAGAAATTTGACACTGCAAACAAAACCCACTTCTGACAACCTCCAAACAACATTACCTAAACATTTACTAGAATCATCCCATTCAAAACTTTTATGTATCTACATATCATTGTTTTTAAACTAATTAAACAAAAAAATCTAATAAAAAAACAAAAGATCTAATGACTAGCAAGAAAAATTTCTTATGTAGTTTGCAATCTAGGTAGTACAATTAACATCACAACTTGTTTAGCACTATACTCAGCAATAATGATGGTGGTTCAGTGCTTATGGCTCCTGCCAATATGGGATCTAATGCACAATCTCCCCCTTCATGCAGAGTAAGCTTTTTTCATGACTCTAAAACCTTGATATCGAACTCATGGAGTAGCACCTTACAAGAAAACGTATGTGATTTTATGAACACTTGCGAGCAGGGTTTGCCAATTCGTGTACCAAACCTATCTTGGAGATTTGTCAGGTCAGTACATATTGATCTGTACCGGTGTCTCGACACATGGTACGTTGGGGCATGCCAATGGGGATTTGGATAATCCGCATCTTGAATCGTCAATTGGACCGGTTCATATCGCCTGTACCATACCGACTTAGGCGGTACAACAAACGTTACTTGCGAGTAGGTTTACAAGCTTAAAGCATGAGCAGATATGCAAAGATTGTTATGTGACAAGATGACAACAAAAATCTCCTTATGTAGAAAGAAGGCCTAGAGAAGCATATTGATTCTCGCATAATGTGATTAATGACTAAAGAGTTGTAAACTTTGTATAAAATATTTTGTCTTCCATATGATCCACATGTGACATAGATGTCCCTTATTCAAGTAGGCCATCCAAAAATCCATTGGAAATCCATGTGTGACTTAGAATGTGGCCTAACTTCTTAGAAGCTGACAAAGCTTGCTGTCATTCCTAACCAAAACTCGATTCCTACAATGTAAATGGTGTTAGGTTATTACCAATTGGCATACACACGATAGACACTTTCAATAACAAAATAGGGTCTTTCAACAACCATCGCAAAAAGGAGAGTAGATATTACCTAATGGTAAAAGTGTCATCAACTGTTAACACAAGATATCACTTTATCAGGATAGGTCTCTATTCCACCGAATAGAAGGCAGATTTCAATCATCAAAGATAAATTTAAAAATATTGGGAAAAGAATTGAGGCATCAACCTCCTCCTGCAATGCAAGGATCTGACTCTCTTTCTCTTGAATATGTTCTTGGAGATCACGAATTTGGCTCAGATGTTGTGCTCTTTCTGCTTCCGAATTATCAAGCTCCCTTCTGCATAAGTTAACAGTAAGCCCATGGCAAACATGCAGCAGACTACTTTGAACATGCAGAAGATTATTCAATTCAAAAATATATACATTGAATTTGATAGGCCAACAAAATATGACTTACGAAGAGGGAGATCCCATTACCATATCATTTAATAAAAAGCAAGATGAGGTTCCATATGATGCCCGCATTTTGCTCCTACAATTTACTTTAATTAAAAGGAACTAGTCATATTTAAGAGACAATAGCTCAGTAAACACCCGATGTTGTTTATAAAACAAAGGCAATGGTGAATGCTATGTTCAAATTGCTTGCAGAATAAAAAAGTTACCAAATTTGTTGGACCAATATTGTCGAGAGCAACTTTAGTTAGACTATGCCTGATGTCAACAAGTAGTCATTGGAAGAGAGCCACAAGGTATAGGTTAGCCACTCAATTGTTACTATTAAAAAATGTCAATATGGAAGAGAACATGTGAAAAACCATAAGCATGATAATATAATGTAACAGCAAATAGTTAAGACACCAAAGGAAGAGCAGCTGAATGTTAGCTTATCAAGAAAGGCATATATCAGTAATTCATCGTGAGATAGTTAGCCAAATTTATCTAATTTGACTGGACCTAAACATCACTATAACTCAATTAAATTGATTGTCGAACAATTAATTCACAAATCAATATCATCTTCTCTCTTAGTGGTTCAAATCATCTAATCATGATCAATTCAAGTTTATATGAATTGTACATCAATCATTAGTTTTTGTTACCATTTTATTAATGCTTGGTACTTAATAGATCTTAATGATCCAAACTTATCCAACCGACCATGAATTTCTATGTAATGATATTTTATAATTTTTTTCAAATTCATTATTAATTATATAAATCATAATTTGAGTTTAATTTACTTGCCCTTTTTGGTTAATGAATTCATATAAATGGGAAAGATTTGTTTTATAAGACAATTGTGAAACCAATAATGCAAGATTTAATGAAGGCACAACCAACATTAGTTTTGCAAAAAATTAAGAAACAATCATTTAGTATGCAACATTTAATGAAGAACCAACATCAATTTTTCAAGAGGAATATCATATACCTGAAGGTGGCTAGCTCTTTGTTTTGTTCTCGGAGAAGATCTTCTTTAGCCCATGCCTAGCCAAAAGCGAAAGAGAAAAACAACCTCAAAATAAAACTCAAGCTTCTCACTCAGAAGGAACAAAGAAGATGAGAAACAAACTGCTTCTGTGTCAATTTTCATAGCTCGTAGCTCCCTATCCTTCTCTTCTAGTTTCCTCTCCAGCTCAAGTATTCTTTGTTCCCTTTCATGTAGTTGCTCCTGTTCAAAGAGTAATAGCATATATAATAAGCTAAGCAGGCTCCATGAATTAGTTATTGGATCTAAGTGAAGTAAACACAACCAGACAAACACATTACACAAACAACAACAACAGACTTTGAACACAAAGCATAACAGAGATAAGGCCAACTTAGCTAAGAGCACGTATAGGCAACTATATTTAACCTACCTGGATGTTAAAAATTAGACAAATTCTATTATTAGTAATTCACAACATTCCGCAAAGCAGCTGCTAAAAAAATCCGAAATCAAATTTCAACAGTACATCTCTATTGTGCAGCCGAGAATAAATGTAGAATGCAGCATCAAATCCCATAACAACCAAAAGCTTGATGTTGACTACGGACCAAGAAAAGTTTAACTCGTGATATAGCGATCTCGTCTGAGACACACAACCTTAGCCTTTGAAAATTCAAGCACAAGTTGCACACGATTCTGAAGGGGCCCATGCAAGTTTATTTGACTACAGAAAGCAAAGGAAATTTATGACAGCAGCTGGTAACATTTTAATGTCAACCACTCCCACCAACAAAATCATTATTAGAATTAGAAAAACCAATTATCACAGGCAACTTATAACAGTTGGCATTCCCAGAGCCACGAAACAGAAACACCAGGAATCCACATTGATTAAGCATAAATCTTAACAATATCGTGAACGATAAAACTGAGCATGTCAGAAACCTTTAGTTCGGCATTGATATTCATGTGCTCCTTGAGCTGCACTTCAAAACTATTCTGCACTTCCAAGATCTCTGACCTGGCAATCGCCCTGGCCTGTAGTTCAATCTCCATTTGCTGAAGCTCTTCTCTTTGCCTCATGATTTCTTGCAGCTTCCGCTGCAATATATCACCATTCAACTCGGCATCATCAGCATCAATTGTGATCGCACAGTAGTCCACCCGCGACCCTGTACCCACCTGCACCTTTCGACAGCAGTTTTACCCTTAAATGATTAGTCCTCCATCCGGAAGCACATTGCCACTTACTCAAAAATTCTTTGTTCTACGAACTTGGCTTCTCAGACAACAAGCTAGGCGAAAAAATACCTCGTGTATCGTTCTCTCAGCTGATTGTCCCAATTTAACATGCTCTTGCTCCTGCGGATGACGAAAATCTTAAGTAAGATCCAAAACACAGCTACACACCATTAAACCTTACCTCGCTTCCGTTGCTCCGAAAGGAGTGCTCGGGGATGGCACGCCACTCCTTTTTGGCAACCTGGGATGCGGGCACGGGAACGGCTCCGCCAAGGCCCGAGGGAGCCTCCATCGGGTCTGACAGGCCGGGAACGACCCCTCGACAGGGCCGATCGAGCACAGCGCGAGGGTTTTCCGCACCCAAGCGAGGACGCTCGAGCCTCCAAGACGGGATCCCAGGAATCAAGAAACGGTCCTAGGGTTTGGACGCGACCGCGCGAAGGATCCTCCGCAAACGAAACCCTAATTCTCGAAGCGAGTCGGGGGAGGTTAGGGAGAAGCAGGATTGGGCAGGCGACGCGGAGGGGAATGAGGGGGGGGGCTTGAAGTGGATCGAGACCGCCGATATGGGTGGAGGAGGACGAGGAGAAGGAGGTTGATGGAAATTTGGGGAAGCGAGAGGCGGAGACACGCTCGCCGATTTATAGGGGAAGGAGATGGGGGGGCGATTGGGGGAGGAAGGCAGCCGAGTGAAGCGGGTCGGTTTACCGGTGTGTGGGTTTCAGTAGCCGCTCTGGCCACACTTAGCTTCCTACAGCCCACAGTGTGGTCGTCTTCGAAGGTCCAAGTAGCGATGACAAGTGGCTCGGGTACGCACCCGCGTACTTCGCCCGAATCCGATTACACCTAACCCGAGTATATTTCGAATCCAAATCGAGTGGCTCATTGTTATTCCGTCGTCATAATAATAAACACGTTTTAATCCAAACCGATAAATAATTATTTTTTATTTAAAAAAAAATAAAATAAAATTTGGTCTTCATAAAATAGATTTTTAGGTAAGTCAGAGGTGGCAATGGTAAGATTGTTTCTTCTTTTACATGGATATTACATTATAACTTGTTCATTACATTCATGTATTTATCAATTACTTGTTATAGAGATAGTAGTGCCACAAGGTTTAATCCATAAACACATTGCATTGTTCCATGAACAGTCTTCTAAAGTGTCAATCATGCATTGGTTGATGATTGATAGAGATCATTGATGAGGGTAGCGATAAGACTCAGGTGACGTCAACTGCCCCAGATGACGCTTCACGCTTTCGTTGACCTATCAGCACCTGGTCAACGCAGATCGGAACGTCGACCAAGGCGCATTAACACCTTGCTCGGGCTCGATCCCTCACGCCATGCCAACGACGATGTCAGACACTACTAGGAGTACGGTCCTGCTCCCTACGGGCAGGCACATCAAGCACATCAGGCAACGATAACCCTCACTATAAAAACCCTCGCGCTCCGAGGAAAAGAGGGAGGAACACAACAGATAAAAAACCCTTTGCGGTTATTCACTAACTTGATTGTCGGAGGGGTCGGGCCGAGCTCCCCCAACCCGACCTGTTTGTAAGTGCGAAGACGGAGGCTTCCCACTAAACGCCCGGGCGAGGAGTTCCCTCCTGGAGGAAACAACGACCCCGTCTCGATCGGACCATCGCAATCGACCACCTCAACGGTCTCAAGGGCCGCCCCGGAAAGATCCCATATCATCCGAACCCGAGCCAAGCCGCGTCGGCCCCGAGGCTACAGCTTAAAGTTGTTTACACCAATAATCATGTAGCCATTCTAATTGACAGGCTGATCCAAGTGAACATGGTGGAAGATAGTCATGTTGGTTTGGACTCAAATGGATGTTTGATTTAGGTAGAAAATTGAGTGGGAACTATTCCATGTAGTTTAAAAATTGTAGATGGAAATGTAAATGATGTTTGATTAGTGGGTTTTTTTTTCCTTCAAAATACATGACTATTTTTTTTTCTAACACTATATATTCTTGAATCTATATGTCTGACTTGACTTAAACTCGATCTGATTCATCATTAATTTTTCACATTGTGACTAAAAAGGTATAAAAAAAACTAAAGAGCAAAATCATCGAATCAAGCTTACTAAACATTATCTATTTTTATTAAATACTTCTAAAAAAAATCAAAGACATTTCCCAACTGCCCTCCTTGAATCGAGACTTATAAATATCTCGAGAAGCATAGGAGGTCAAATGATTCATAGAAGTAATAAAAAGCATTTTAAATATTTAAATTTAATAAAAATCACGATTGATAGTAGTTTATTTATTTATTTATTACATAAACATTTTGCTAGTATATCTTTCGATTGCCAACTTAACGTGATTAAGTTGATCCGAACTAACTCGTTTATTTGAATTTTAAAGTTGGATCCAATCGAGTAGTTTAAACAAGATGTTCGACCTCGTTAATCGTCACTAGTGCTCACGAAGATCATGACTATGAGAAAGAAGCTTATTTTTATCATCATCATCATCATCACGAGTCTTTCTCAGTCGATACGGGTTATTCGAAAAAAATATATTTAGGATGAAATTCACTTGAGACCCGTCGTTAGAATGAGACTAATAACCTTTACTAGATCTCGGATCAATTTAAAATTAAATATACTCTTAGCACGTGCAAGATGTTAATTCCAAAGTCAGAATGGAGTGTAAATATTCTATTTCTAAACCTTGGTAGGATAAACACATATAAAACCTCCATTTGAATGGTATTTCACATGCCACACCCAATCTTCTTCTCTATAATGGGCATCAGGGAATCTCATTCTCGAAGTCCCAACAATGGTCGGTCAAGTGTTTGCTTGCATTAGTTTATAGGAGAGAGAAAGAAAGGCATGGCATTATTTCGACACTAACCACATTTGTCTTCTCATGCACATGCATTTGAATCATAAATAATCTATCAGAAGTTGAATTATGATTGAGAGTTTAAGATCTGATCCTAATATATAATGTATCTAAGTACAAATGGGAATGGATTATGTTCTATTTTTTTATCCTAAACCACTTATCTTCTCACTGATGTTTGGATCTTCCTCCTTTCTAATGGTTTTTTGTTGTCTATGTCATTGCCGACCATTACTCTATCTAATCTTTAACTAAGTTCAAGTAGGATTAGGTCTCCAAGAAGATATGGAGAATGGAGTTCCATTTTTTTTTATCCTACACTTGTCTTCTTTGGTTCCTACCATCAATATAAGTAGATCTTCTATTTTATCCGTTGGTGTATCCGATGACGTTTGCGATAAACATATTTAGTCGATTCTTATCTTAATCTTACATTATTATAGGTGTTTATGCACTAATAAAAATAATGCATGAGGTTCATGTGAGTGTAAATATTTATGTGATTGTTACAAGGATCAAATTACTGTTGGTTTTTTATTCGTTCTCAAAGGATGATATTTGTTGTATCTCAATTATTTCTTTATTATGGTCATCGATATCATCCTCTCTATCGCTATTAGTTTTCTTATTGTAAAATTTATGATATTTCCTACATATTTTGTATCTTTGATATAATATATAATTATATCATTTTATAAAAAAAATTACTAGATTTACGACTCAAATTCAAAAAATAGATCTCGATAGATTATTATACCAGAGAGGATCAATGCAAGTAGACTTACACTAGTGTAAATAATTGAGATCATCATGATTTTATAGGTTCTAAGTATCATTACGTCAAAGGTTCGGAGCCAATCAAGATCAAACAAATTTGGTATCGAAAAAATAAGAGATGTATCACATGAAAGGAATGTCCGATAAATATATGATAGAGGAGTTGGGATAATTATTTGACTTAAAGCGAAGAGTTAATCCATAAGCTAATAAGACAGAATCATCGACCATCATCATTCAACATGTGGAGGAGTGCATCTAACATTATGACTATCGTGCGAAAATAAAAGTCAATGAGTCGGTTGACTAAGTGTCCAATATATAGTGTGGAGTGACGTGTAAAAATGGTTTAACCGATGTGATAAGGTAGTTGGTAGGACACATGACATGTCATGAGATTATCAATAAACTACCCTAATTATTATCATGAAAATAATCATCCAATAAAGCATGCATTTTTTTCGTGACACGAACAGTCCCCCTCATCACATTTAAATGTCATTCGCGGTTGCAACCAAAGCTTACGTAACTTTATTCCCCTATCACTAACCCATCACATAGTCTTAGTTTGATGGGACAAGTCCCGATCGATACATATCATCGGCAAAGAAGTTATTAGCCTTGTCGTTTCACGTATCCAAGACGGCGACAGCCTCTGCCAACTAAGCGCTACCTACCTCAATCATGCACACACAGACTCCACCATCTCCTTCGAGCGTCTTCCTCGTCATGCGCATGCAATATATCCCAATGGCGAGGAGCGCAGCCCTGAGGCCTTAAGAGCACGAGTCACATGCGCACAAAGGAGAAGAGGAAGAAGACACTAAGTAACGTGGCAGCTCAGCTAAGCTCAGCTTAGCTTGTCTGGAGCTTGGCGAGGAGCGCAGCCCTGAGGCCTTCATGGCCCTGCAACTCACATGGCACCTCCACCACCACGTCCTGCAGCACGGATTCCTTGACGCAGGACACGCTCGCGTGGTGCACGTGGAGCCCCAGGTCGCGTAGCGCAACCATCAGCCTTGCCGGCGGATGGTTCCGGTCATCCGATTGCGCCCTTATCAGCGCCTCCGCTCCCAGCAGCTTCACCTCCACCTCCATCGCCGTCTCTGAGGTGGTTGTGGTGGTGGTGCCGTGTGTCGTGGCGCTGGTAGTTGTCTCCTTCATCGCAGTCTTGGCTTCGGCCTCCAGCTTGTCGACCTTGGCCTCGAGCTCCTTGATGTAGGCCACGGCGTCCGACAGCAGGGACGCCTTGTCCATCCGCGATACGTTGGGCACCACCGAACGGAGGGCGTAGAAGCGGTGGTTCAGCTTCTCGCGGCGCTGCCGTTCCGCCTCGACGTGGTTTGCTGGCCCCTCGTGCGACCCGCTCTCCTGCTTCCGCCCTCGCTTCTTGGGCCTGCGGCGCTCCGCCAACAGGTGGCAGTCGGAGTCCGAGTGCTCGGAGTCGACCGAAGAGGAGAGACCGGCCCCATCCTTCCTCGCTGCCGACAAAGGGGCCGGGGCGGCCGTCGGTTCTGCGCCGGCGATGGCGGCGTCGTGGGGCGTCGTGTTGAAGATGGCACTGACCTGCTGCACGAGGACCCAGTTCTCCGCGATGTAGTCGGCGGATCCGAGCTCGAGGACGCCGCCGGGGACCGGGAAGCACGCGAGCGTCTCGATGCCGTGGAGCTGAGCCTCGCGGGTCCGGTCGCACCCGCACGCTTGGAGCGCGCGCACGCCCGCCAGCCAGACCGGCGCCAGCGAGCCGTAGACGCGGGCGGGGACGGGATTTGCGTCCCCGTCTCGGGCCACCACGAACGATCGGCTGAGCGACACGACGTAGAACCACTCGCCGTCGTCGACGGAGTCGTCTGACCCCCGGCTCTTGCGGGCGCCGCGGAAGTTGCCGTCGCCGAAGGAGAGTACACGATGGTCGGGGGAGGCGCGCCAGAAGATGGCATAGGCCCACCACTCAGGTCGCGCGAGGAGGAAGCTCTGCAGCCGGTACTGGAGGTCGGCGGCCGCCGGGGCGTTCAAGGAGGAGGAGCAGGAGGGGGAAATGATGAGCTCGTCCATTCCGGTTTG